TGCAAAAACTGTTCTCTGGGACACCCAGCCAAAGCTGTTGTGGCCCACCACTGCAAGTTCTTGTGGCCTGTCTCTCAGCAAAGGCCAGGGAGGCAGAGGAACTTCAGTTTAACTGTGATACTTTCCAAAGACAAGGGCTGTATCCTTGTTTCAAAAGGAAGGCAAGATTGCCCAAGATTTGTCTCATCATTTTCTGGTCGTTTCTTGTTTGGGTTTGGTTGTTTTGGGGTTTTTTTGAAGGGAGAACAAGCTAACTCTATCTTGCCTTACTAAATTAGTTTACCTTAGAAAGCTGCATCATGGTCTACTTGGGGGTTGGACATTTTATCCCCCTGAATGAGAACTCTACAAAGACAGCTGGAAAAAGGTCTCTTTCCTTGCTCTTCATATGAGTAATGGAGTTGTTCTATTGTATGAAGGCATTACTATACAACATAAAATCTTGACTTCCTATAGCTAATAGGCCCAAAATTGGTATAAATGATTATAAGTGTTGTTCTTGGCATTAGACCATCTCTGCTATCTAGTGGAGCCTGCAATGAAGAATTATTCATAAAGGTACCCAGGAACACAAAATTGTGGGGATAAACAAGCATTATAAGCAGTTCCTACGGCAAAAGGAAAAAGCAGCTCTCCTCGTGCACATGGATAGCTGCACATGGATACGTGCACTGTAGAAGCAGCAGAGTTAAACCTCAGTCAATTGCATTTGCTTTGTGAAACTCCATTAAGATGTTGGTCTGAAGAGAAGTTGTAAACATCTGTATGTTGTGTCCAGGAATGGCTGGCTGCTGCATTTGCTTGTAATCTGTTGTGATTAAGCTATCCCCTTCCATGCTGTGCTGCATGATGATGATCCAGGGCTTTGCAAATAGTGGGAAATGGGTAAGGGCAGGCCTGAAAACTGGTGAGAACACATGCTTGGAGGAAAATGCGGAGGCACTCAAGAAGATGAGCTTTAGAGAGGTGGAATATAGACTAACATTATAGGACTTAAGGGGAGGGAGGACTCTTCCACAGGGCATCTTGTGACAGTGGCCTTTGGGTTAAACTTAGTCTTCATGAATATCATTTTATCTAATAATTTAAAAACAGATGTAAGTAAGCAAGGGAAGACTAATAGTCCTCAGCAGAAACTTTCTCATGGTGTTTTTATAGCCCTGAGTTTGGAAAACAGAAGTGGAGGTGGTCTGGGAACTATCTTTTTAGTGCAGCTTGGAGAGGTATTTCTAGGTCTAAGGAATAAGATGAAAATGGTGATGAGTAGCTGCTTGAAGCCATGCCCAGAAGATAAAGTTATCAAGGTGTCTTTGAACAAGAAGTATGGGTTTTTGGAGGAGTATGTTTGCTGTTTGGGTTTCTTTTTTTTATACTTTCATCTTAAAGCGGTATAAGTAGAAGAAGTCAGTGGCATCCTTCAGTATTATGACAACTTCATGGGTAAATGGTCTATACAAGTCTACCTAGCAGTGAACTTGTTAACTTTACTTTTAGAGACTTCAAGAGTATGTGTGGCTGTGCAGGAAGTGTGTTTGCCTCTGATCTCCAGGGACACTCTCTTGATACCAGTCAGTTGTGACTGCCGGAGTCTGGAGACAAGTCCTGTCACCTTCAACAAGACAGTGTCTACCTGTGTGTTGTGCTGTTAGAGGAGGCTGATTATACCAGTGTAGTTTCTGTTGTTGAATTGTTCTTGATGCTATGATGATGGGAGCATTACGAATGTCTAATTATGTGGCCTGAATTTCAATATCTGCCCAGGTCTTTAAGAAAGGTTAAGGTTGCATAGCCAGCTGCTGTGGCTCTCTTCTCTCTGCACTAGTTTGGCTTCTGATTGCTTCTATCTTAACTTGTGTTTGTAGTATGCAGCAGAGGATGGACTTGTACACACAAGTGATCTGGCCAGGACAGTGTCTAAAGAATGGATTTGCATTTAAAGGCCCCAGCAGTTAGACTTCCTTAGAGAAGGTAAGGATAAACCCCAGGAGATGGGTTTGGGGGTATCATAGTGTTTGCTTCAGATAACCACCACACTCAACATGATTTTTCATTTGCTGCCCTGGGAACATGGCATCTCTTTGCTATGTCCAGTGTCATACTGCAGTGTATAAGATTGTGGCTATTATAGCCATCATTTAAAGGATTTTGACTACTCCAGTTGTCTTTGTGGGCTGCTGCTTTGCATGCTTCTCAGGGCTTCAAATGCATGCTACTTCAAGCTTCAATATGAGTATTGAGAGCCTGGAGAAAGCTCCTTAGATGCAGTTTTCTCTGCAGAGCAAAATGCAGAGATGGTATTACTCTTCTAGTGATGCACTACAATATAGGGTTGGTTAGGCTGCACGAGCTACTTTCTTAGATGACTACAGAATCTGATTTCTAAACCTCATGCTGATGTAAAATTGCAGCAGTGAAGAAGACTGTGTTTGTATAATGGAAGCTACTCTCTTGCTTTTGTGAGCTTTCTGATCCAGGCCACTTCAGCCTTTCAAGTTTGGTTTACTTATCTTCCCTATAAGAACAGTCAAAGGGTGAAGTCACCCAGAAAGCATTCTTGCAGAAAAATGCAAGTTGAACTGCAAAGCAGCATATTGATGGCTGCACCATGTGCTTTAATCATGTACTGTAGTCTCAGAGGAAGATATAGAAATAAATGTATGAAAAATGCTCCTGTAATCTCTAGTCTTCTAAAAATACATAGTCAAAGAAGTGATAATATTTTTTCCCCCTCTGTTCCTTTCTTTAGCTTTCCCTCTGAAAAATAGCAACAAAGAGGTCCTCTTTTTTTGTTCTTCTGCTTCTGACACAAAAGCAACTTAACCCAGGGTGTAATCTACTTCTGGGCAAAATCTTCACCTGCAGCATCACCTCACTGTCATCTGCTCCAAGAGCTCTAGTACAGCATGTGTGAAAGCAAAGTGACCATCTTGGCTAGTTGGCTAAGAAACTGACTTTTGGCTGAATTGATAAAGCTAAACCCCATCACTATAACTGACAGTCTGAGGCCATAGTTCGGTGCTTAGTAGCATCCTGGCCTGAACTGCTGCATTGCTTCCCATCCACCCATAGCTGCTTGTCTGTGGTGTTGCCGTGCAGCAGCTAGGTCGGGAAGCTGATCCAACTGGAAGAACCCATGGGGTTTGTCTTTTGGTCTGTTTTCAGCCAGTTTACAGCTTAGCTGTTCAAGTACCTGTGTTGGCCCAGAAATGGGAAGGTAGAAGTGGGCAAAGCAAGCACTGAGGGATAGTAACGGCATTGCCATGTTGGAGTTGATCCTAAAACTTCACCTTGAAAGGTAAAAGGTCATGTAATAGAGTCAATTCTGGCATACTCTAGTGAAGCACTGCTGTCTTCAACAGAAAATGTCATTGAAATCCTGTGTGTACAAGGTGAAAATGAAAGCTTTTGGTCATTCAGTAAAGACTTGATATTTCGGAAGTAGAGAAATTAATATTTGCCTTTATGGTGGTGCTCAGTGACCTGCACAACTCTTTCATGCAGATTCCTCCACCCTTTCTGATGTTTTGAACAAACACAGTGAGCCTAGGTGGAGATTTTGATTTTTTTTTTTTTTTTGTCCTCAGTTTTGCCACTTCTCAAGCCAATTGTGCTAAAAAAAAAATCACCAGAACTCTGGAAAGCAGCAGATGGACCTCTAACTGTTTTAAAGTTGATGCACAATTTTCAGACATGCACACACAGACCACTAAGCGCTTCACTGAGAGCACAGGTGCTGAAATCATGCAAGTCCTTGAGGGCTTCTTGATAAAGAAAGTATTAAGCTGCTCTTAACACAGACTTAGACTGAACCAACAAAGTCTTATCTCTTACCTTCTTTGGAATAGCAAAAAAAGTCTTTTTTTATTTGATTTTGCACAGTTTAAAATTGTTGTTTTTAATTAAAAAAAGTATTTTACAGCCTCTAATTGTGTGTTTGACATTTTAATAAAGCTTATTTTCTTGTCATGTATATATTTGTCTAATCTGTGCAAAAGAAGTCTCTGTAAACTATATACAGGCATATTTTACACAGTGCACAAATAATTAGAAATGTAAAATGGATTTTCTGAGGGGAAAATTCTGTAACGTTGTAAAAAATACAGGTGTGGGATGTTAAATGCTTTGTCTCTGATTCTTATCTTGTATGCTTTTCATATGCACTCAGGTATTTACATTTTAAAAGGCTTACAGGAATAGGCATTTTCAAACTTGGATCACACTGCTTAGAAAATGAGAAATGCAGTTAACCTCTTTACTGTGATACTCCTTTTATTTTTCCACTTCGTGCTCTACCCACCCTGCTCGGTGTTAGACAGACTTTTATGTAAGAGAAGGAATTGTGGGTTGCAGTAAGTCCCAGCACCTTGTCTGCTTTAGGGAGGGTCAGTCAGGGTTGGTAGTTTGAGTTTAGTCTCTCTGAACTAGAGCAAATAACTCAACACCACAACTGTCATTCTTCCCAGAGAAATCAGGTGATGTACATGCTCTTATAAAAGTAACTGATGTCTTTTAGCAGCCTCTGTGCCTGCCCTGGGACTAGGCTTCAGGCCCAGGGTTAGATCACGACATAGCAATTTCCACAGTAATTATAATCTTCATTTGTACTAGAGACAAGGGGAAGAAAACCGTGAAATTAAGACATTTGTGAGGCTAAAACTTGCAAACTTCATAGGTTCTTTGGCATGTTCAAAACAAGCATTGCAGAACTGAGGACTGCAAACACAGGATATGTGGTGCTTATGGTCCTTCTGTAGTAGTATTTAGTTACAATGAGTCCAAATGCCCAACAGTGCCTTGGTATCTCTGAAAGGAAGTACAAGGGAAGAAAAAACAAAAGGCAGAGTAGGAAAACTCTTCCAGACAAAACAAGTGAGTTTCATTAGATGATGGAAATAAGACTTTCTTTTGCCCTTGCATTCTTCCACTCTTTATTTGCTCTCCTCTTTCCTGTGTGCCACTCCCCCACCCCCTCCCCTCATCACTGCAGCCGTAGTAATCTAGATTTACATTTTTTCCTGACAAACTTCACGCTGTTACAGTCTGAAGTATCTGATGGCCTTTTTTTTTTTTAAAATCACTGTTCTGTAAACATGAGTACATTGACCATGATAGATTGCTGCAAAAATATTTCTAGATGATATTTGTAAGTATTCTTTCTGGGAAGAGTTTTACCTTGAATTCTGTAGCACAATTATAAACTAATAGCTCTGCATACAGAAAATTAGCCTATATTAGCCACTGGGGAAGTGATGGTGGAATAGAATCTTGGCATATGAACTGTACAGGAATACCCCAACTGTGCAAATACAGATAGGCAGTGGGAAGCAGTAGTCCAGAAAAGGCTGGGAAAAAATAAATTACAAACCAAATGCAACAATAATTAAATGTTTTGGGAAAAAAACAAAGGCAAACTTCATGTTGGGTTGCACAAATAGGCCTTTTGTTTGGGATGCCCTTCAAGTTTTCTGAGTGTTCTCTACAGTGCTGGTAAAACTTCAGCAAAATGTTTATGGCCAGCAATTGGCACAGAAATTGCAGAAACATGTGAACAGAGGGGATGTGAAAATAGCTCCCAGAGGCGTGGGGATTGCTTAGTTTAGTGAAAAGGAGGCTGGGGAGAGGTATGAGAACAGTATATTAAAAAACATGGTGATGAAGAGAGAAGGAATAAATTTTTCCCATTGTGTATGGGACCAGGAGAGAGGGATGGAGCTACAGCCAGGGATGAAGAGATCAGAGCAAACGTTTTCATACCAGCAGTAAAGTACTGATGTGAACTGCCTGGGGAGGCTGCTCAGTCTCCACCCTGGTAACCTTTTGGGACTGGTTGGCCAAGCACTCCTCAGTGACCACGCCGGTACTGCTGGTCCCACTGTCAGGCACAGGCATGGTCATGATGTCCTCTCAGGTCCCCACCAGCCTTATTTTCTGTGATGGTACTGTTTTCTTAGGATCTTGGCCTCAGATGCTATAGTTAGCTATACTTCTTACTAGATATGATCTGAGTTAGGGATTATGTTCTTTTTCACAAGCTCTCTCATATTTGGGAATCTTTGGGATCTACTTATTTTCAGAACAGAATCCTTTATATCATTTTTTCAATAAGTCTGTCTCTTTTAATTGATAACATTAAATTTCATTTAACCTAAAGCAGAGTAGAGTAATACTCCCCCATCAAAATGGGTGTATGTTTCAGAAAACAAATGAACTAGAAATGAGGTGATTCCTACAAAAGGGGAAACGTGTCTATATTCTGTTTTCTTTTTGCAAAATTAGTTGGGAAATCTCACAGCTTTGCTATCTCTGCATATCTCCATTACCTCAGTTAGGCAGGTTCTCAGCTGGAGGCAATTTCATTTATTTAAGCAGGAAAGCCTCAGACTCCATCAGTAAAGATGAAAGTCCAATTCCACAATGTAACTTTCTCTGAGGTTAACAGTATTGATTGAACTTGAGATGTGAATCTATCACTTGTGCCTGGATGTCTAAAGAACATGTAATATGAAGGTAATAAGTGGAATTAATCTGAAAAAAAATTTGTGAAAATATATATTATGCTTTCATAAAGGCTATATTTAAAAATATTATGTTACATGGAGGAAGTTTATCTTTCTTTTCTTTTACCATGCTCCCAACTATCTCTGTCCTGTTCTGCTTTTCCCAGGGTCACCTCCTTAGCCTCTCTGGAGCTGGGAAGGGGGTAGAGCTGGGCTGTGCCCCTCAGAACAGGAGAATAGCTGGTAGGGGAGCAGTGCTGGAGGGGAGGGAAAGGGACAAAAGGTGCAGTGAGGAGACCCAAAGCACCAAGTGTTCTGTCTAAGTGCTGTAGTGCTGGTGCAGGAGAGAGGGTGGCAAGGGGCAGCCTCTCCCAGCATCTCCCATCTAGCCTCAGTCCCTCTCTGGTCCCCAACATCTTGAAAGGAGCCTGTGTGTTTGC